TTTTAGATACAAATCGGAATATTCACCCAAAGTTTTAATATTAAACGTACGCCAAACATTAGACGCATGCGCATAATCACTCTCAGAAATTTTCTCGTTAATCAATTTCGAACAAAAATTTTCTTTCGATGGTAATTTTGTCTCTTCGAGTTTTCCCCAACAGTCAACATAGTCGTATGGAAATACACCTCTCCTCGTTAACAGTTTAAATTTCTCCGCATTGTCACAATGTTTACGTGTAATGATTTTCTCGGAATCATTAAGATAGGAGGATAATTTTTCGATGCTGCTTGCCATAAATCTGAATGAATCGATGAATCGAAAATTTATAATTGTATCTTTAATGTTCTTTGTAAACGATATATATCTTTCTTTGCTTACCGGTAAAAGATTTACGGAACCTTCGAAGGAAGTAGCTAGAGCCCTAATCAGAAAGTATGAATCGTAGCCAGACAGGTTATGAAAAACTATGGGAATAGTATGTGAATTTTTATAATTCAAATTGCAACCGGGATGCGCCGCACCGCGATACTTTCCTCTAAAGTGACAATGATCGTGATGCATGACATCTTGCAGTGTGAATGGTTTCTCACAAATGTGACAGATCTTTGCGGAATAAAATTGTTGCGTCTGTTCGAGACTCAGTGGTTCCATGGGTACAATACGTTTATGATAAATTTCTAAAGATCGTGCTAATTCCTGCAGTTCATTCATAAACCACTCGATACGATTATTCCAACGATTAATTTCGAATTTGAATAAAGACTCGTCGAAGGCGCACTTTAGGTAATATGCGATACTGTGTGGAACATGATTTTGGTGCAGTATCGTGTTTGATGCTTTGGATGCATTTACAACTGGTTTCAACATACATTCGATATCAGCTGTGACGTGAATTTCGGAAATTCAGTCACAAAGACTGCTAGGAGTAAGGAAAAGACATAATCCACCTGCAACGATCCTCTAAACGTCAGTCACCCGACATTCCAAAGACGACTTTGCTTGTCTCGCTTATCGTTTATGCATTCTGTTTCCGTCTATAGTCCTTTCTGCTTATTTCTGTTTCTTTTTTCTGCTTTTTCGTTTTTATTTTTATTTTTGAGCTTTCCTATTCGCACTCGCCTACCTTCTTTATCGTCCTGGACAAATCTACGTCCACACCACGAGCACGAGGCTGACCGCCAACGAGAGTTCCTGAGCTACCGGACGAGCGATCGACAGAGGCTGGACCAAACTGCTGTTCGTTCCGGAGGACTTCCGTGGAGCCAAGGAGACCCGGGATGGGATCCCTCTACTACTTCTGCCGGCCGCCCATACGGACCGCAAAAAGGGCCTCCGCCACTCGTGCCGCCGATAGGAGGAAAGGATAATCCTCTATCGTGCCGCCCAGTCGCCGAACGTTCCCTAGCGCTCCTGTTATCAGTGGCCCCCGGAGAAGAAATCAGGGCCTACTCCTCGCTGGATCCTGCTGCTCGTACCGAGGACTCACGATCGGCCGCACCAAGGTTTCCCGCGCTCAGCTCGCCCCTCTCCGCCTATCTTCGGACTCGAGCCGCCTAATGTTTCGTCTCTGGCTACCGCTAGGCGTTAGATTTACCTATTCTATATTATTATATTGTGTTATCGCTCTACCGTGCGAATTAGGAATTAATAATTTATGGAGGGGGGCCCCTAGGGCTCTTCCTCTAGCGACGAATTCCGGCGAATTCCGACGAGCATCTTAGCTTGTGGTCGTGTATCGAAGTCATTGAAGTGAACCAAGAGAGCCGAGAACAAAGACGAGCCGGATTCGATCGATTAAAAGATTCTAAAAATTATATTATATCGAAGGAAGGAAGGAAGGAAGTCTGAGGACCGATTTCCTCGATTCCGTACCGGATATCTTTGGTGAGCACCTTCCGTTACGTTAATTTTGGAGATTTTGTAAATTTAATTGAAGCAATCCCGTCTAGGCGCTTTGTGTCGACGGCAAATTTTCTCGCTTACCGGGACTGAATGTCGTTCCAGTCCCTCTAAGTAAAAGGACGATAGTGCCGGATACCGTTATCTTATTTCGTTTTTCTTTTCTTATCGTAGAGTACTTAATATTGAGTCTATTGTAATTAATTGCGTTTTGCGGTAATTTAGTACTTTGGAAATGTCGAATATTTTATAAGTTACCGATTATCTGCTCGACCACGTGGAAATACCTAGGGTCCCGGCGTCTCCGGCTTGGCCGTTTCCCGTTGAGTCGGTATAGTTGTCTCTAGCGAATATCTTTTGGGCTTTTCTATCTTTTCCGGCGTTATATGTCGCTTTATTATAGTGAATTTTGACTGTAACTAATTCTTTTCTTTGCCTGATATTGCTCACGTATTTCTCGATTTCGTTATTAGGAATGGCATCCTCCTCTTTATTTAATTAATATTTCAATTTCTGGAAATTTGTAATTAACGTCTTAGTGTAATATTTTCGATACCTTACGCCGTTGGTCAAGAGTAGAGTGACCTTTTTTTTTGTAATCGCCCGAGTCGAGAATACAGGACGCACTGACTATCAGTGGCGTACCTATTAATTTATTTTTGCCGATCACCCTATTCTGGTGATAATTTTCCGAGAGCTTACCATTTCTTGTAACTAATTTATCTTATTTGTATTGCCTGTGTTAATTTATTTAAGTGTATTTTCTACCTGTGCGCTGATCGTCCTATTTATATCGTGCGTGTTCTGACTCTTTCCAATTGTCGGGAAATTTCGCGAGTGAATTGGTTATCGCGTTTTCGTACCGATACGAATTTAATCCTTTGTTCTCGTGTGTATTTCGTAGTCCCCGATTTATTGAAATATTGTCGAAAGTATCTTTTACGTCGGCGCGGATCCGTCCCGCTGCCGTGTCGTATCGCTACAGGGCCATAGTCCCTCGCTAGTTCCGCGTTCGTTTGTAAGAGTTTTAGTTTATATAGAAGCCTTCAAGAACCTATCGCTTTGTATTATTATTTTAAGGATTTTGTTACTTGGTTCGTTTTCGCACCTCATTGAATCTCGCTAACAATTTGCTTTATCTTTTCTGCTTTTGACACGCCGTAGTTTGCTGTATGGCTTGCATGTCGCTTTTTGCTTTTTCTAATATAGCTTCGGTGCTTTAAACTTACTTATTTTCTCTGCTATCTTTCTTTTACCTATTCTATTTATCGCATGTCTATTCCTTCTCCCGTCTAGCCTCTTGAACGCCACGACGCTCTTCCAGGTGAGCTAGCCTCTGAACCGGGTATACCTTTCGAGTTCTCGGCGACCGCTCGATTCTCTCTCGCTCTCGCTTCTATTTCTACTTTTCTTCGCGCTTCTCTCTACTATCTTGGCGGTGTCGCCGTTTGTGACTTTGTGCTTTTACGCTCTTGGCGGAGTCGCCGTTTATTATCTTTCTCTTTATATTTTGGCGGTGTCGCCGTTTATTAATCTTTCTCTCTTCTATCTTGGCGGAGTCGCCGTTTCTCGATCTTTCTCATTTCTATCTTGGCGGAGTCGCCGTTTATCGCTTTTCCTCTTTTCTATTTTGGCGGAGTCGCCGTTTACCTATCTGCCTCTTTTCTTCTTGTCGGAGTCGCCGTTTATTATTACGCTCTTTCCTACCTTGGCGGAGTCGCCGTTCCTATCGTTTCACTTCTCTTCTCTTGGCGGTGTCGCCTTACCTGTTTCCTTTTCCCTTCAATTGTTTCGAGCTTTCCCGCGTTTTCTTCAGAATTTCTAAGATCTCGAGTGCCCTGCACTCGCGGTGTTCTTCTCCCCGGAGACCACCTGGCGCCCGACACTATTTGGTTTATCGCGAATCGGGTCTTGTGAATATTGAAATGTATTGAGAGAGAATCATACGGCGTTTTGTGTATGGTTCCCTACTTTCCGAATACCTTTTATCGTCAATCTAATTTAGCAGTGAGATTTTGTTTTGGGGAATAACGTCGCACAGCATAAATGACGAACGGTACACTTTCCTGATACTTGTAATTTTTGAACTTCAGCAATTTTTCCTCATCATTTGGCAAAATCACTCTACACTTATTTATATTCGCACAATCGAGTTTATGTTTTTCGAAAGAGTTTTCAGTTTGAAAATGGCACAAGCATCTATCGCACAGTCTAATATGGCCGTTATGTTTTGAAATTTGAGAAATTAACAGTCGAGATAAATTTCGGATCCAAGCAAAATGGTAAATTACACTTTTTGACAAAAATTCCATGTTCAAATCATCATCACTTTCCACGTCATTTTCACTTTCCACCATCAGTTATCATTACCTATTTTAGGTATAATAATATTAAAAGCGGTGCAAAAACTTGTGCATTAAAATCTACAACGGTTCTAATTGTCTATGTGTGTGTGTGTGCGTGTGCGTGTGCGTGTGCGTGTGTGTGCGTGTGCGTGCGTGTGCGTGTGTGTGTGTGTGTGTGTGTGTGTGTGTGTGTGTGTGTGTGTGTGTGTGTGTGTGTGTGCATTAAATTATTGTAAATTGCTTCGAATTTTGGAATGTCCTTCAAGCCAATAGGAAAATTTATACCTTCGTACTTTAGTATTGAGCTGAAATGTGAATACGAACTGATGCTTTGTACATTTTGTTTAGCTGGATGAAGAGCTGCCGTAACGGACCAGAGAAAACAATACGGATCGTTATTTAAAATATTCACCACTGCCTTTTTGTTCTGTACGTTCTTCAGCAACTCGATGAATGTCGACAGACCACCATGTATCGGTATATATCTGTTGATATTTACCGCCAAGTTTATTATTTCCAACAACGACCAGCCCGATTCTTTTTCTTGGAAGTCTTCGATTTTAGTTAATAATTTTTCCAATACATTGACATTGAACCACTCATTGATCTCCGTGGATGATAGAATTACTTCGTTTTTCGTATTAAAGAACGTATTAGGTCCTCAATAAACTCACCGCCTTTCATAGTCTCGAATTTACAGGACAAAACGACGTTCACTTTCAAATTTCCATCTTTTCGGAGCGCATTTTTTACTCTAACAGCGAACAGTTTTTTTAAATCTTCCATAAAACGCTTCAAGTCCTTGTGTCGCAAATTTGCTATCACTCCCGTTCTTATTCTCCTTTTGAAGGCTGAGTCCAAGTCATCCCAACGTACTCTGTCACTTCTTCTCTCTCTCACAGTTCCTTCACCCCTTTTTTGAAGGTGCTGTTTAAATTTTTCATTCAACGATTTTAGTATTCCAATGGTTGTCAAGATTTTGTTTTTCTCCCCGTTCGTAAGCGCAACGTTCCTCAGAATTTGGTTCAGAAGTCGAATATTTTAAGTACCAAACTTTGTCCACTTTGTAATTTCCACAATCAATGATTCTTTCTTGAGCAGTTTATATGCTTCTTCCATAACCTTAATCAATTTCTTGCACTTTGCAGAATCCATTTTTCCCTCGTCAAAAGCGTTTACAATAAAGTACACTCGATGAGGTTTGAACGTCAATGGTTGCTCTACATCACGAGCGGTCTTTTATATGTCTAATGCATGAGCTCCCCTCATCATTACCTATTTTAGGTATAATAATAATATTAAAAGCGGTGCGAAAACTTGTGCATTAAAATTGACAAGGGTTCTAATTGTCTATCCCTTCATTAATGTGTGTGTGTCTGTGTGTGTTCATTCCAAGAACATTATTCAGCTCGGCGGTGATATAAACAACTCGTCGGTTGCTCCTAACCATCAAAGACACATGCCGAACACCTCATCTAGTCTTCGAGTAACCCTATATTTTCGGCTTGCCAAAACCGTTGACCATCTCGCCGGAGATAATGTTGATTACATGTTGAAGGACTTGACGCGTTATTCACTAGCCTAAACATTGGCACTCTATAAGAAGTATGGTGAAATTACAGTTCACTTACAAGGAAACCCCCCCAACCCGACCCCACCGATTTCAATAATTTTTTGATATGTTGTAGTACTCGACAAAATAAGAGACACGTATTTTTTTTTGTGCTGACATCCACTAAATATTCACCACTGCCTTTTTGTTCTGTACGTTCTTCAGCAACTCGATGAATGTCGACAGACCACCATGTATCGGTATATATCTGTTGATATTTACCGCCAAGTTTATTATTTCCAACAACGACCAGCCCGATTCTTTTTCTTGGAAGTCTTCGATTTTAGTTAATAATTTTTCCAATACATTGACATTGAACCACTCATTGATCTCCGTGGATGATAGAATTACTTCGTTTTTCGTATTAAAGAACGTATTAGGTCCTCAATAAACTCACCGCCTTTCATAGTCTCGAATTTACAGGACAAAACGACGTTCACTTTCAAATTTCCATCTTTTCGGAGCGCATTTTTTACTCTAACAGCGAACAGTTTTTTTAAATCTTCCATAAAACGCTTCAAGTCCTTGTGTCGCAAATTTGCTATCACTCCCGTTCTTATTCTCCTTTTGAAGGCTGAGTCCAAGTCATCCCAACGTACTCTGTCACTTCTTCTCTCTCTCACAGTTCCTTCACCCCTTTTTTGAAGGTGCTGTTTAAATTTTTCATTCAACGATTTTAGTATTCCAATGGTTGTCAAGATTTTGTTTTTCTCCCCGTTCGTAAGCGCAACGTTCCTCAGAATTT